CGCGTCCAGGGCCCACCTTCCCAGGCCCACCTTCCCAGGCCAAGCTCAGGCACAGCTGCTTCTGGAACCCAGAGGGTGTGGCCAAAAGGCCCAGTCGGGACCACACCAAAGCGGACCTCAAGAACCAGAAATCCAGCAGCTCCCTCCAGCACCTAGGGTCTGTGCTTCTGTGGGGGACGGGCCTCGTGGGCAGGGAGAATGAGGCTCACTGTGGGCTTGACACCACTTCATGAGGACACAAGGGCCAGGACCACTGGTGACGGTGATGACCAGGGGACGCTAGCCCTGCACACAGTCGTGGCTTCAGGGGCGCACACGCAGCAGAACAGCAGGGGCACCTTGGAGCGCCAGGTCCTGGGCAGGAGCGGCCTGCGCACCCAGGCTCCTGAGAGATGCTTGCAACCTGTCTGGCCAGGGCATGCGGGGACCCGCAGGACACCTTTGGAAGGGTTTGTGACTTCAGTTTCTCCAGCTCCCGCAGCTACCTGAGGTCTGCAGCTAATCCTGGGCACGCGCTCTCAGGCGGTGGTGACAGTGCTGCCCTCACCCTGCTCTGCCCACGGGGCCCCCCAGCCAAGAGTGCCCTTCACAGTCACAGACCCACAGGGGACATAGTCACAGAACAAAGCCGGGGACAGGGCAGTGTCTTCAAAACCTCTCTGGGTGCTTAAAAGCCTTCTGCCAAGTCTAGCCGGCACGCTTTCCACCTGCCTGTGCCCTGGCCAGTCCCTCACTGTCCCCTCTTCACAGCTACACCCTGGCTCCTCACGTCACTGAGAGGAACTCTAGAGAGAAGCCAGGTGTGGTTCTCCGCCAACGCCAGCCAGTGACCGCCAGGCCTGGGAATGGAGTGGCAAAGCCTGAGGTTCAGGCAACGGCCTCCCGAGTGAGGCGCTGCTGGCAGGGACAAGGCCGTGCTGCCCACCACAGAGCCTGGCGCACCCCCCCAAACCCGCTGCCCTCTGAGCCTCAGGTAGGACACATGTGGCCTCCTCCAGTCCCCTTGGTCCCACTCACTGTGTAAAGTGGCCCTGCGGCAAGGTGTGTGGACGCCAGCATTCAGCACAGGCGCGTGCTGGCCGGGGGCTGCAGGTGGAAAGTGCCGGCACTCACCGGGCTGAAGTGTTTTTCAGGAGCACAGGTGCTATGGTGGACGCTGATCCTTGAATGGACAGACAGGAGACGTTCAAACCCCTGGTCTCTTCATAACCCCAAAACCATCCCCTGGAAAGAAAACCCGCGGGGCAGCTGTTAGCTGGCTTTGCTTTCACACAGGTAACAGCACCCCCGCCCTCGGCCTGGGCTCTGGCACCCAGGAACTCACACCGCGAGAATTATGGGCTTCCCTGTGCTCATGACTCTGGTCACCGAGTCCAAAGAGCAGGAGAGAAACCCCGGCTCCAGGCTCAGGGGCCAGAGCAAGGCAACCATGCTCTGCCAAGAGCACCTCTCACGTTTCAGAACAAACTGCTCCGCCACGTCTCAAGTGGAGGCTGCTGTGCGATGGCTACTCCACAGGGAAGCCTTGGCTGGCGATTTACACCAGGGCTGTGACCGCCGCTCCTACACCACACTCCAACGCGTTTAAAAGGCAGGAAGCCAGGCACAGTGGCACACGTTGTCATCCCAGATACCCGGGAGGCTGAGGCAGAAGGATCACAAGCTTGAGGCCAGCCTCAGCAACTTTAAAAAGGGCTAGGGATGCGGCTCAGTGGCAACAAGACCCTGCTTCAGTCCCCAGAATTGAAAAAAGAGGCAGGGAAAAGGGAGTGTCCTTGGGAGGGGGTGTTGAGGACAGGCTTAGTGCCCTCTGTACAGCCAGAGGCCTTTACTGGCACAGCCCCAGACAGCCAGCAGGCGGCAGGTGCTGGGGAGGCCCCGCAGGGTGGCGACTGGGCGACAAGGCTACCTGTAGTACTCGTGCTTGTCCTGCGAGTACAGCAGGGGCTCCAGGCACGGCCGCTGGTCCACCTTCTCCTCCCAGGAGCCCTCCTTCCACCCTTCCGCATACCCTTGCAGGACATACACCTGGTCAATGAAGGGCCCACCGGACTCTGAAAAAAAACGAAGAGAACAGGGCAGTGCAGCAGCGGCTGTGGCCACTCGCAGGCACATCCAGCCCCTGGCTCAGATGGACGAGGATAAGGTCAAGGGCACATTATCCCCAAAGACGACCGCGAGAGGCTCACAAAGCAGACAGGGCAAAGTCGGGCCCCTGGCTGGGGACGGGGCCTCACAGCACTCCTGCCACGGTCATCTTCTTCCTCTTGCTGCACCTGTCACCCGGGGCTCCCTCCCTCTCCTCTAGCACAGCCAAGCCTGCCCACCACTCCCTCCAGCACTGCCTGGCCCCCACGCTGGGCCCAGTGCTCTCCACCGTGACACCACTGCACTCCCTAGCTGCCCGGTGAGCAGCCCGAGGGCCTATACCCCCTGCTGCCCCCCACACCACGCTGGGGCCACCTGTCACATCCCACATCACAGGAAAGCTCCGGCCAAAGATGGAATGAGCCACCTGGTTACGAGAAAACACACCGCGCAGAGTTCTGCCTTCCACGCCTGCTGGGACCAGGGGTTCGCAGCTGCGTGCCAGTGCAGCTCCAGGCTCCCCTCACCCTGGAGGGAGGAGAAGAACTGTGCCAGGCACTGGGCCTGCCCTGTCGCAAGCTTCACCCTCTCCAGGGAAGGCAGGCCTGGGTCCAGCCAGCACATCTGCCTGGGGAGGCATGGTGTGGCTGTCTTCCTGCAAGGCTCCTGGTCCTGTTCCAGCTGGAGGGATGCAGATGGAGTGGCAGAAGGGAGACAGCTTGGCCACTTCCAGGTGGCAAGAGCCCTGACTGTCCCTTTCCCAGCATCAGAAAACCACCAGCCTGACCTTGTGGCCTGGAGGCAATGGCAGCTGGGTTTCTATGACCACAGCTCAGACCGGGGCAGGAAAGGGTGCACCTCACCAGTGTCTTATAAGGCCAGCCTGAATGAGGACAACAGAAAACACAGTGGCTCACATGCCAGTGCTCCCAAGATCAACTCCAACACCACGCACTTCACAGCGAGGTGGTGAGAGCCCAGCACTAGGAGAATGGCCCTCAGCACAGGGCAGACAGAGGCTGACCTGCATGAGGACCCCATCACACCCTACGCGCCACCCATTCCTCTCAGGGTCTCCGGGAAGCAGCATCAAAGGGCCAGTTTTAAATCTATGCTCTCCAACCAAAGTCACGTTGCTAAACGTCTTAAATCATGTTCTAATGAAAGCTTTAATCCTCAGAACATTAACCGGAAGGAGGAGCAGCATGAAGTTAAAGAGGCGGCTTTACTGAGTCCTCGGCAGTGCTGCAGGGAGACACCATGACCAGAGCCACACTCTCAGCCGCCCTCCAGGAGGAAGAAGGCCTCTCTCCCAGGGTGCCCTGTCTGTTGGGTGACACCTGGGGCGGGATGCTCTCTCGAGCAAAGTGACTGTGTTTAGAGGCTGCGACAGCCGTCCCCACAGTTCAAACCCATTTCCCCAGAGCAATGGTGCAGGGGGTGCCCATGCAGAGCAAGCACTGCAGCTGGGTGAGAGGACACATGCAGCTGGGCCTGCAGGCCCAGCTAAATCACCACCTCACCTTCAATGAAGTGCTCATACTCAATGACCGGGATGTTTTTATTGAGACTTGGAAGATCAAAAAACTCAGACCAAGGAATCCGGTCCTGGAGGATATCAGGACTCTGCCAGTGATAGAGGCGGCCCCACGGGGGCAAGACCAGCACCCACTCCTCCGTCTTCAGCAGGGTCTTCAGCAGGGAGGCGACGCGGATGTAGACATCCCTGCGGAGGTTGAAGCCCTCCATGGGGTTGACGTCGTACAGAAGGTACCTGTGCAAGAGCGGAACAGGGCTTCTGAGTGTAGGGCTGGTACACACCTGCCCAGATGACTGTCTGTCACTGCTCCACTGCGCAGGCTTCAGTTTGCAGAGACAGCTGTCCACCTGTTTCTAAGTGACAATTATCTGAGCCCACAAGCATGACCAGACGTCCTAGTACCCTTTACAGCTGGCCATGCCATGGAACCTCAGCCCTGGGCCTCAGGATGAGGGCTCTTCAGGGTTTCAACTTGGTCTAACAACCTCTGAGGACCCAAGGGGCAGGTGTCACGAGGGTCAGGGTTTCCCGGAGAAGGGGGAGCTGAAGCACTCGCTAATTAACAGCAGCAAACTCATCCCGTGCTAACAAAATCAACGTCTTAAACAAAAAAGGAGCACGTTTTCAACACAAATAACTAGTGGACGCGGTGGCAAGGTTTTTCACTTTTCCGAGTTTATTCTGGGTCTGGCAACAGCTGGGTTCTCACGCCCGTGTCTGCCTTGGGCGAGCTGCGACATCACACGTCAGGTGGCTTCTGGAAGGGCTCCACGATGCGCCCTCGACCCGAGTGGGTCAGGAGAGGGGCGTCCTGCGCTGGCCACGGAGGTGCCGGGCCGCGTCCGCCGGGCCACGTGGCCGAGCCGGGCCGAGCGAGGCGAGCCCGCGGAGCGCTTACCGTCTGCGGGAGGCCGCCCGCGACAGGATGTCGGCCGCCGACTGCCCGGGCCAGAACTCCTCGCCCGAGGCCGAGACCGGCGGCCAGGAGGCTGCCCCGAGAAGGAGGGAGACGACCGCCAGCGCCGCCATGGCTCCGGCGGCCACGCACTTCCGGCGGCCGCGCCCTGACCCGGAAGCGCGAGCCTATCCCTCCCCGTGGAGCGCGTCTCCCGTGGCGACGGCCACACGGCGAGGCCCGCTCTGCGCATGCGTCGCTCACTCTTGGGGCGGGGCCCGGGCCAGTCCTGCCGAGGCGCGTCTGAGGAGGGGCGTGGCGTGGGTGGGGAGTGGGCGGGGCCTGCAGGCCAAGTCCTCCAGGGGACTGGGCGGGGCGTGCACCGAGGGGCGGAGCGTGGGCTGTACCGGGGCGGGGAGTGGGCGGGGCGGCACCGAGAGGCGGGTCGAGGAATTTTTCCCAGGGGCGGGGCCAGGACGGACGCGGGAGTCGGGGCGTGTGCGAGTCAGGCACTGGGCGGCCCGGTCGCAAGCTTCACCCTCGTGCCTGGCTCAGCCTGGCTCAGCACCGCCCCCCTCCGCCCCCGGCTTCCCCGCGCAGCTGTGGCGGGTCGCGCATCTCCGACCACGTCCTCCGCGCACGAGCGCGGACCTGCGAGACGAAGGCCTACGGGCTGGCAGGGCCGACGGAGTCGCGGGGCAAGGCGTGGGGACTGCTCGCGCCTGCCGGATCTCAGCCCCGCAGCTGGGTTGTGGGCACCAACCCCCGGGGAACACTGGGAACTGGTGCGGGGCACGGGGTTGCGGACTCGAGGATGAGCGATCCACTCCGTGCGCCATTGTCTGCGGTGTGCCCAGACTCCCGGGGGGCCTGCCGGAGGGGCGGCGATCCCGTCGGGACTGAAGGGTCTCCCTACCTGTGCAGGTGTAGTTGCAACCGTCCTCCAACTGGAGGGACCCTGAGGGCCCTGGGGGGAGGTGGAGGACCGCCAAAGGACAGCTGCTGTCCTGGAGACGTGTTAGCACTCCTGTGAAGTGGGGTTGTCTCTGTTGCTTAAGCCGCTTTTACAAGTAAGTCTAGCCCGAGTTCGGGAGGCTGTGGGACAGCTGGACTCAATGGTACAGCCCCTTTGGAAGTTGATTGACAGTTTCCGTTCTCTTCCAGTTGAATCCACAGCTGGAGTCACCCCAAGAGTGGCAGCAGGTGAGTTCCTGCAAGAGAGTCCCCAAACCACCCTGAGCCCCGCTGGCTGGGATTCTGATGAAGGAGCCCTAAGCCCCGGGCTGTTTGTTTGGAGGCAGAGAACAGGAGGAGGGGTGCTCTTCCCATTGCATCTGTGGGGCTGAGGACTTCAGGCTTGGTCCAAGCCTGCAGGAAAGCCTGCAGCTGGACAGCCCAGGGAGGTCCAAGCATCTGTGCTTCTGGGTCAGGATTTAAGAAGAAAATGGGGCTGGAGTTGGGGTCCAATAGTTGCTTATGTAGCTAAAAACATGCCTACTGTATGACCCAGCTGCTGCACCCTCTGTGTTTACCTAAGAGGTATGAAAACACTTATGCCTGTGAAGACTCACCCCTCAGGGAAAAATGGACACCAAGGAGCCTGGCTGGCTGTGTCGAGCCTCCCGTGCAGACCCTAGTGCCTGGCCACTCTGCCATCTCCAGCTTGCCCCTGGACACTGCAGCTCCGCCAGCAGCCAGCTGAGGTGACCCCAGGCTGTGAGCCCTTGCCTGCCCAGGCCTCTCGCTCTGCAGAAAAGCAGCCTCCACACCTGCTCCACCCCAGGCCAGGCCTGGCCGCCTCACAGCCCACTGGCCTGGAGAGGGCCCCAAAGCAGTTCTAGGGCTCAGAACACCCCCAAGATCAGCAGGCCTCCCATCTGGGGACTCTGGATTCTTTCCTCTCAAGGAAAACAAACCCCACACTCCCCTCTGGACAGAGCACCTCCTTGATGAAGAAAACCCTTGTACGCCCTCAAGTGTACCCCTCTCCTGTGTGCACAGAGCCCCCCAGGATGGGCTTCCCTGCAGGGTCCTCCCTGCCAGGAGCCCGAGGCACTGAGTGTTCCAAGGACAACAGGCCCACAGCAGTGACGCCCCACCCCAAGGCTGCGGGATGCACTTCTGTGCCTGGCCCTGGGGCATGGTGCAGCCCAGGTGGCAGCTGAGCTGTCCTCACAGGGCTCCATGGAACCCCACACCAGGAATCAGAGCAGGGCCCCAGAGGCTGCGTCCCTGCCTCTGGGATTGGGGGCCTGGGCCTCCGTCCCTGCCCCACGCTCCACTTTGAAGGCCCGCTTCCACCTCACAGTGGTGCTGGGCCTTGAGGACAGGGCGGCTCACAGGCCAGCTCATGATGGACAGCCCTATGCCCTGGGCTAGAGGCCATGGCCCCGCGCCTCCTCTAAGAGGCTGGAGTCCACTCAGAAGTTGTGGGACTCTGTGCAGGTGGCCTGTCTGCTCAGCCCCTGGCGGACTCTGCCTCCACGCCTCCTGTGCCGGGGTCTTGCAGCCTTGCCGGGCCCGCGAGCCCCCGCACTGGCACCCTCTGCCCACCGATTTCCCCAGGCTTGCCGTCTCCTCCAGGCTGTGGGAGTGCATTGTTGATCTCTGATCTCGGGCCTGTCAGCACTGCCCTGGGTGGTTCATGAGGGTCCCAGAAGGGGAGCCCCTTCCTCACCCACGAGTCTCCAGTGACCTATGGCCGGGGTCTAGAGCCACTGCTGCAATGCCACCACAAGGGGGCACGCGAGCCCTTCTTGGGGAGCTCCCTGGGGCTCCTGGGCCGCGGGAAACCCACCCACCAGAGCCGCAGAGGAGCGAACAGACTGGGGAGGGCCAGGCTGCCTGGCCCCGGCTCTCTTGTCCCCGAGGAACCCCCAGAGCTGGCCTCCGGCCGCAGGCTGCTCTGCTCCCACTCCCTGCTCCAGCCTCGCTGAGGTGAGAGAGGAGTCCCCAGCCTGGACGGGGCATTTCACTGTCCTGGGGCCACAGTGGCTCTGCCCATGTTCTGATCCTCCTTGGCCCAGGGCCTCTTCGGTTCCCTCACATCTCACAGGGTCAGGACTGGGCCACCTAGTCCCACCCCAGTGAGCAGAGCCGAGGTGGGAGTCTGGGTGGTCCTGGGAGGAGTCCCTGGAGGCTGGGTACCGGGCACGGGGCTGGTGTGTGTGCAGCAGACGGGAAGGCGTGTGTGTGCAGCAGACGGGAAGGCGCGAGAGCTGGGTCTCAGCACAGCTGGGGGCAGGCAGCCCCTCGAGTGCCCCCTGGGGCACCAGGAGTGCTCTGGGGCGTGGGGTGCACTGGACAGGAGGACCTTGGGTGGGGCCAGGCAGTGGAAGGAAAGGGGAGGGCCAAGGAGGCAGCCTGGAGCAAAGGGCCTCCCGTGCCCTGTAGCTCAGGGATGACCATGGGGGAGTCCACGGGTGGAGTGATGGAAGGTGGGGACACCATGCAGAGCCAGGACCCTGAGCTGCAGCCTCCTGGGCACTGTGGGCAGTAACAGGGGCCTGCTTCCCCATTCCCCTCTGGTTGCAGGACCCACGAGCTAGGATTCTGGATGTGGTGTGCCATCTGCCCTTTCCTGGCCACAACTCCTGGGTGCCAAAGCCTTGGGGACCACCGGCTGCCTGTGAGCCACCAGCAGGGCACAGAGTTCCAGGGCCAGTGGCTGCTCAGTGGGCACAGATCACCCAGCCTCTGCAGCTAAGGAAGGACCCATGAGTGATCAAGGCACAAAGGAGGTGCTAGGTTCCCTGGGGACACACTGAAAGGGGGAGGAAACACTGTGGGGACAGAGCAGGCATGGCAGTGGGATGGGCTGTGGGTTAGGGCCAGAGGCTGGCACCCTTTCCCCACAAGCCCGGGGCTCCACATCCTGACGGCTCTTTGGGCTCGGGCACAGCTTGAGTGAGCCCCACATGGCCAGACTGACTGTTGGTACCATATCTAAAGCAGGGGCTACAGGACAGAGGCCAGCAGAGATGGCCAGACCAAGACCTGCCCCACCCCACCCCAAGTGCACTGGCAGCTTGGAAAGTTCCTCCCAGGGGCCCTGCTTTGCCTCTGGGGCCTGACCAGCTGAGGACAGACAGGGGTCTTCAGTGTCTTCCTGCAGGAGGTGCCTCTCGGGCCCACCCTCCCGCCTCGGAGGACCCTGCCAGCTGGAGGCTGGGAGGCAGATTTTCCTGGGGGTCAGCAGAAGGCCAGGAAGGTGGCCGTTGGTTGGGGCTGCCTGGATCCAGTCTGGCAAATGTCAAGGAGCGCGTAATTTCCTTGACTTAAACGGAGGCTTATTTATGTTTGGAAGACTGGTTTCAAGGACTTTCTTCTTGGTGACAGCGTCAAGGGAAATGCAGACCCACCAGGTAAGGGTGGCGTGTCCACACGCCCCGACCCCTGGCGCTCTGCTGGAGGCAGGTCTCGCCAGGACTTAAAAGCCTGGGATGATTTGTGCCCCTCCCCACTGAGGTCACCTGGAGAACCAGGAACATCAGGGTGGGCTTTGGGGGATGCTTCAGACCAGCCCATTGGAACACGGACGGGGGAAGGCATGGTGTGTCCGGCTGTCCCAAGAGTCCCCAAGCTGGTACCAGGTGCTTTGGGGGGACTCTGTTCCGACAGTGGATTTTTCTCATGCTGACTCTCCTCGTGTCCCTAAGATGAAGTCTGCTTGCTCCTGGTGCATGATTCCCCACGTGGACAGCCTGGTGGGCCAGGGTGTGCACGCCCGAGTCTTGCCGTTAGTTTTTCAAGGTGTCAACAAGCTGTAAAGAACGAGCCGGTTGCTTTTGTATGTACTGTGTGTGGAAATGCCAGTAGCCCTCCGTCCGTCACGGCTGGCCGCCAGGTTCTTACCTGCAGATTTAGAGGCCTGGGCTGGCTCACGAGTCAAGGCTTCAGCCACCCTGGCATGGGGTGGGCGCTGTTTCCATGTCCACTTGCCAGGAGAGGGTGCTAAGTGAGAGTTCAGCTCTCTGGGCCTGGTGCCTTTTTAAAGGACACACCCAGACACTGTTAGTTTGCACCCTGCCATTGGACCAGCCAGATTTCCTATTGCTACTTGAGTCAACTTAGAACTTTGTGTTTTCTAAAAACACATGGCCTGTTTCGTCTCATTTTCAAAATTGCGGTGGTTTTACTCATTTTCAAGCCTCCCCCTCCCCCTGGCCCTCAGATCTGGGGGCATGTGCCCAGGTGTCCCCTGGGTGGGGCTGGTTTACAATCCACTGCTGCTCCCTGTGGCTGGGGTCCACCCAGAAGGCCCGGGGAGGACGTGGGTGGACATCTGGTCTCCACAGTGCTCAGGTGAGCACCCGCCCGCACAGTGGAGCCCAACACAGGACAGCTGTCAGCACTGCTCTCCCTGTCCTCAGGACGGTCCGGGTCACCTTCATCCCAGGAGTGGCTCACCTGTGTCTGACGGCCCAGAGAAGGCCACTGAGCATTCTACAGTGCACACAGCACTTCTGCAGTGGCCCACGTGGAACTGTGCCCTTCCACTCTGCCTAGGAGGCTGGGTTGGAGTCAAGGCCACCAAACTCAAGACGAGGGCATCCAGTTAAGGAGGTGACAGCAATGTGCCACAAAGCCAGGGTCCCGGAGATGTCGTGGTGTTGGGGAGCCAGGCGCGGTGTGGTTAGTGGGGACAGGCGGATGTGAGACCCACACAGACTTGCAGAGCTCCCCAGAGGGGTGAGGCCTGGGCCAGGGAGGTGCGCTGGCCACGCTGGCCACGGCCGCTGGAGAGTCACAGGGTGCTCATCATGGCGTCTCCCTGGGGACTCTGCATCGATGGCCGCATCTGGGCACACGGTTCCCAAGGGGCTCAGTCAAAGCCCCAGTCAGGGACATAACATGCTGGGCAGCTCCACATCCAAGTGGAATCTACGTCACGAAAGGCAGACGCTGGGCAGCCTGTGCTGAGCACTGCCAGAGGCCCAGGCGGGCGGCACTCAGGGGGCACTGGGGGGCAGTCGGGGGGCATTCAGGGTACTTAGAAGGGCAGTCAGGGGGCAGTCAGGGGCCACTCAGGGGCACTGGGGGGCAGTCGGGGAGGCTGCTCCCTCACGGTGTGGGGCACTGAGCTGCAGCGTGGGAACGCGCTCCGACTTGGGCTAGGAGAAGAAGGGTCTGTATTTCAGGGCACTGCCAGAGGGGACAGATGACCTCTGGGGCCTTCCAGGCGCCTTGCTCCGCCTCTGTCTCTCCTTCTCTAGCTCCCCTCTCTCTGTCTCTCCTGTCTCTGTCTCTGCCTGTCTCTCCTTCTGCCTCTGTCTGTCTCTTCTTCTGTCTCTGTCTCTCTGTGTCTCTGCCTGTCTCTCCATCTGTCTGTTTCTCCTTCTGTCTCTCCCCTGTCTCTGTCTCTCCTTCTGTCTCTGTATCTCCTCTGTCTCTATCTCTTTCTGTCTCTTCCTCTTTGTCTCTGGCTCTGACTCTCCTTCTGTCTCCCCCCTGTCTCTGTCTCTTTCTCTCTGTCTTCCTCTTTGTCTCTGGCTCTGACTCTCTGCCTGTCTCTCCCCGTCTCTGTCTCTCCCCTGCCTCAGTCTCTCCCTGTCTCTGTCTCTTTCTCTCTGTCTCTTCCTCTTTGTCTCTGGCTCTGACTCTCCTTCTGTCTCTGTCTCTCCTTCTGTCTCTGTCTCTCCTTCTGTCTCTCCCTCTCTGTCTCTCCCTCTTTGTCTCTGGCTCTGACTCTCCGCCTGTCTCTCCCCGTCTCTGTCTCTCCCCTGCCTCTGTCTCTCCCCGTCTCTGTCTCTCCCCTGCCTCTGTCTCTCCCTGTCCCTGTCTCTGTCTCTTTCTCTCTGTATCTTCCTCTTTGTCTCTGGCTCTGACTCTCCTT